CAGCCTTTCTCACTCGAGGGATTGCATGATTGCGATATCGCGCCGCTTGAGTCTGAAGCATCACTGTTGTGTTCACGAAACATACGCAAGGCCAAGAAAGAAATCCCTTGCTGTCAAGTGAACTCAATTGTTTAGGCTTCGCACCACGTGCGACGGACTGTCTGGGTTCCAATTAATCACTGCCGAGCGTTGATGGGAGTCCGCACAAGGCTGATACCCCAGAGGCGGCGCAATGCGACTCCCCGGGAGTTTTTTCAAGTCATAGGAACATGCTCTTTCGGCAAGACGTATTACGACGGACCATGGTTTAATCAATCACAGGGCCCGCATTCTCTGCCAGTTAGTTACGAGTTGGCTTGGAATGGCTCGACCAACCGCCGAGGACGGCGTTAATCAGATCCCCGCCGGGAGTGGCATTAGGCCTCGTGACGGTCCAGAGTGGGCTGAAGCAAAGGGCCAACAAAGAGCGCTTTGCCGTGTTGCGTACGGCAGCTAGCTGGCAACGTTAGCATGAAGGGGGGATATGAAGGCACCCAGAAATAAACGAGTAAACAAGTAAACAGGTAATAAAAGTTGGCATAAGACAAGTAAGAGTCATAGGCCTGAGAATCACGGACAGTTCATGCAGTTGGAGCGAGCAGGGGAGGGTTCAAGGGAAGGCGCTCAAGCCGTTCTAAACCTTCGGGCATCAATGGGGGATTTCTACCTCACGCACGTACCTGGCCGCTTAGCTATTGCATTGCACGCTACTAGTGCCTAGCAGTGCATATCACCCTCTCAGCTCGAGATCCAATGGAATGGAGGCGGATGGAGGAGTGATTGTGTGTATGTGCGACGACTGGTCTTGGAGAAGTCAGTTCTCCAAAAGGCTTAGCTGGCTGGTGGTAGGCCCTGCTGTCAGTGAAACCCCGTTGCTGCCCCTTCCATGATTTCGGGCCGGGAAGCGACTGAATTGCTGGGATGGAAAGCCCCATGGTTGATGCCCATTGGGCATATTCTCCAGACAAGAATGAGTCAATGGCCAGTACCTGGCTTGTGACCTCATTTCTGGAAGATACCTGCCGCATGCCCTTGTGGGTTAATAAGCAGATATAGTGGTACTTGCCCTGTGGCCTTTGACGTGGTGCTCAAACGGGTACTCTCTTAGTGGAAACTGCCAGTGGTCTGCGCTCACCTGGTCACTCCACTAGTGGGGTTACCATGCACGCTGCTACCAGAGGTACTGTGGCAGCCTACGCCAAACCTTCCCCTCTCCTCCCGCCCCAGCTAACCATCTCGCCAGGCACTTCACGGACGATAAACCACTTGACATATCCATTCCATAGGTCGTAACCACCAGCCCTGCATCTACTGCACAGGCACGGACCTTCTGGGCGTAGTTCTTTGGCCCCCACCTGCGTTCCTCTTATTTTTTTTTTCTCCCTACCATCCTTCCAGCTCCCCATTTACCTCCTCGCTTGGTGGGACTATAAACTAAGCTCGCCTCGGCCTCTTTCTTACTCAAGTAACCCTGTTCCTACTTCGTCCACCAGCTACCGATAGACCGACCGATTGTCCTTGCGACCGTTACAATCGCCAAAATGAACCCTCACCAGAAGAATAAGGTCGATGTCAAGGTAATATCCTTCATATGCTCTTCTTATCCATATCCGGAGGGCGATGGTTACCGTCCTACCCCACTCCCTTCTCAACATTCCCTCGAGCAAATTCGACCACCATGATGTGATTCGAGCTCGCTGGCCTGCCAGTACTCGGGAGCGATACTCTCGCATTGATCTCTGTTCCGGATTATAGTTCTCGTTAGATACGTGGCAGTGTGCTAACATGACTTTCCCAGAACCTCTCCCCCGAGGAGCAACGACTATTCCGCCTCTATGGCAAGCTCCCCTCCCGCTCCGATCACTTCGCCAAGCATCTCAAAGACCGCAAATACTTCGATTCCGGTGACTATGCCATGTCCAAGGCCGGAAAGGGCGATGGTGTAGATGCTGGTGCCGTCGGCTCCCAGCACCCTGTTCCCGAGAACATCCCCCACCTCTCTTCCCCCATCAACAACTCCAACACCTCCTCCACTATCGCCAACGGAGCCAGCGCCAACGGTGGTTCTATCCCCAAGCACGCCCACCATGGCTCCATCCCCGGTATCCAGGCCGGCAGCCCTATCAAGGAGAGCAGCTTCCTCAACCACCAGACCAACGCCGACGAGACCGACGAAACCAATCAAAATGAGGAGAAGCCAAAGCAAGCTGAGAGCAGCATTCCTATCCGGAGATAGGTAATGGCAGACTGTCACTAGTTTTTGCTCTTTTCGTTTCGTCTACTTTCATTTGTTTAATCTACCGATTGGTTTCTCCTATCGATAACCAGAATGGCGGGGTAAAGCGCTTGTACGAAAGGTTGATTTCAAGGTAACGAGGGAGTTGGGAACGGTCAAAAGACAAAACCTAACTTTACTCTTTTCTTTTCTTTTCTTTTGTCGGATCTACTTCGAGGGTTGTCTATGCTGGCGTTTATGGAACAAACAAGGGGACACGTCCTCGCTTTGCTCATTTTCCTATACTATCTCCAATGACTGATTCGAGGGTCGTCCGGGTGCTATCAAAGGGCCAGATTGAACCACGTGGTGGATGGTTTCATCTCTGGGATACCAAAATGAAGACCGGAGATGGCAACAAGGTATGATTTATGCAAATCGCATGTTTGAGGATTCTTGCGTCGGATGCTTTGCGAGTGCCAATAGTCTGAATCAACGGCACATGATGTACTGCGTATTATCTTTGCTACCATAGCTCAATTGAACAGTTTTCTTTGTGCTTCTACTCGTAGCTCTGTAGCGTATAGGAGAGTTAAGTTACAGATCCTCCAGAGGTGTCCAAAATGCGTACAGTCATCGACAAACCGTTGTAAATTGAAATTTGGCAGCATTGCAGGAGCAAGTAGGTGATGTGAAAGGCATCGAGCCCAAAAACACTGCCTTTCTTTAGTCTAGCGAATGAAAGCAGCAATGAAGTCAAGTAAAATGATATCAAATATAGGCAACCCATCGCCGTCAGCAGCAATAAGTATAAATTATACGAGCTGGTCAATATACAACCCTGTAACCACCATGGGGTGACAGTGATCCGAAGACCGAGCAAAGAGATTTAAAGTATACCTAGTAAACGTAAAGTGTCAAGTTGGAATAGATATCCTAATGGCTGTTCTGTGTAAGAGTAGGCTTGCAGTGCAAAGAGAGGAACATGTGTACAGGTCAAAAGATAGTAGATTTTAACAAAAAAAGAGTCCAAATCGAATAACTAAAACTGCATGCCAATCTCAGTACCATTTTTTATGTGATACGAAGCTTTCTGCTTCATCTATTGAAATATTTTGGCTGATGTTTGGAATTGAGGCAAGACAAATCCGCCCCTCTTGATTGGCCCGATATTTTTTCCACTTCGACTGTCAAGCTGCAGACAAGCCAAATCTTTAGCTAACTGCTTGGCGTTGCCCAACTCTCTTGCAACACCTCATTCCTCACACCGATTGATCGATGCTCAGACGGATACTCGCAACCATGACAGAATCCGCAGCGAAAAGAGTCAAGACGTCGGGCGCGCCCCTCATCGGCACCCACAGCGGCCACTTCCACGCCGATGAGGCCCTCGCCGTCCACATGCTGCGCATGCTCCCAACCTACAAGGACGCATCTCTGGTCCGTACCCGCGACCCCAAGATCCTCGAGACCTGCCACACCGTCGTCGACGTAGGCGGCGAGTACGACGCCGCCCGCAACCGCTACGACCACCACCAGCGCGGCTTCACCACCACCTTCCCCGGCAAGGCCACCAAGCTCTCCAGCGCCGGCCTCGTCTTCCTGCACTTTGGCCGCTCTATCATCGCCCAGAAGCTCGGCGTCCCCGCCGAGCAGGAGCCCTCCCACGCCGAGGTCGGCCTCCTCCACAAGAAGCTGTACGAGAGCTTCGTCGAGGCCCTCGACGCCCACGACAACGGCATCTCCGTCTACGACCCGGCCGCCATCTCCGCCGCCGCTATCGAGAAGCGCTACTCCGAGGGCGGCTTCACCCTCGGCGCCATGGTCGGCCGCTTTAACCCCAACTGGAACGACGCTGCTCCCTCGGACCCCGCCGAGGCCCAGGCCGCCGAGGACGAGCGCTTCCTCACCGCCAGCCGCCGCATCGGCGAGGAGTTCGAGCGCGACCTCGACTACTACTCCCGCGCCTGGCTGCCCGCCCGCGCCGTTGTCCAGCAGGCCTTCGACGCGCGCGCCGAGCACGATCCGGAGGGCCGCGTCCTCGTCTTCCAGGGCACGTCGTGCCCCTGGAAGGACCACCTCTACACCCTCGAGGGCGGCAAGCCCTCGGTGCTCTACGTCCTGTACCCGGAGGGCGCGGCCCCCGGCTCCAAGTGGAGGATCCAGTGCGTGCCCGAGAGCAAGGACTCGTTCGTCAGCCGCAAGCCCCTGCCCGAGGCGTGGCGGGGCTTCCGCGACCAGGAGCTCGACGGGATCACGTCCGTCCCCGGCGGCGTGTTCGTCCACGCCGCTGGCTTCATTGGCGGGAACAAGACGTTTGAGGGTGCCAAGGCCATGGCCGAGAAGGCGCTGCAAGCATAATGGAAATGGGGTATTGAAAAAAAAAAATGGAAATTTGGACATGCAGTTACGACACGTTGAGAAAAGCCATGGTTAGTCTGGGCTTTCATGATTTGGTTCCATTGGGCCCCCATTGAGGGGATCAGGTCCCATAAACCTGATGGCAAAAGGGAAAAAAAGGAAAAGGATTCATAGAGCCTCGATCACAATAACGGCATAAACGAAAATTTAAATTTCATTGACGACTAGTTTGGTCATTGTAAGACCGCAACATTAGGTGTGAGTCTGTCAGACAGTATCTTGCTCTTTTTCAAGAATGGTGATAGTAAACGTTTCACATTTCGAGGTAGTTGATTCTCTATCCATTAACTAATAATCCGTGATCACCCATATACCATATCCTATCTTACTTCCGCGATGCCGCATCCTTGGGCGGCCCTGACAAGCCCTCAACAGCCTGACGTCCGACATTGGATAGATCCTGTGCGTCCTTGGAGGCAGGTTCCCTCAGACCAGCGTTGCTGGCGTCACTGGTGCCGATATTGGCCTCCGTGCGGCCAGATCCAACGTTGACGGTGCGGGCATCGGCGGATTGCCAGTCAGATGCGGTTGGAGGCTGCTCGGGGAGTGGGAGGTTGGCCTGAACCTCTGCGATCTTCTGGTCCTTGGACTGTGTCATTTTTGGGTTTGCCTGCGCGATGCCATATTAGCCAGATGAACATGATACATCAGATGACTGGATTGACGGGATGGAACGCCTCAATTGGCTTTTTAGTGCATTCGAGTGCTCTTAGTTTGCACTTACGTTGAATTGGTGGACTTTTAGAGGGGCGAAGAACTAAGACTTTCCAAGGTTCTTTATTCGAGATTCGAGATTCGAGATTGAGAAGAATTAGAGGAACGAGTAGATAATTCTGTTTTCATCAAGGTGATCCAATGCTTCTATTATACTTATTGAACAACTTCTAGACGGTTCCTGGCCACACGATCACGATGGTCATTGACGTCAGAGACCTATGTCGAGAAATGATCAACTGGAACTCGCCGTGGGAACTCTGGGTCCAGGAGCTAAAGTTCCGACTTTGCTCCACGAAATCACCATTCACTTACTCGCTCACGGGGTTCCCTGAAGGTCAAGACAGGTAGAATTTTAAGAATATGATTCCACGGTCTTCCACCTCTTTGTCCTTGCACCTGCCAGACCGCAACTGAGGAATCGGACAGCCGGGTATCAATTCATATGTCATTCTAGTTTTCACATATATAAATAAAATGCTACCCCTGAACGCCCATCCTGGATCGAGACTGACCTTTCCCAAGCCTCCACAGAATCAAATGCACGCGCCCAAAATTCATAGCTATTCGTCCATTTTGACATCATGAGAACAAACAGGTACTCTGCTCAGCCCACTCGCCTGTCTGTCTCCGCCGAGGTTGCCTTGTCTCCCGTGTCAGGGTTCAGATAGTCGGCATCCTCAGCAGCTTCATACTCAGCAATCAGATCCATAACCACCTGCCTCGCTTCGTCGAACTGATCGAGGTTCTCTGAGAAAGGTGCCGTCTTCTTGTATCCTTCTATGAATGCATTTCGCTTTCGCATGCCGTCGTACTGTTTGACAATACGCTTAAATAGCTGGTAATCGACATGTTAATTTATTGAACCACACCACGACGGCGAGAGGGATAGAACAAACCGTAGCTATGCTCGTGTGATTAGCCAGCATGAGACCGCTCACACGATGGCTCATGGGGATGTACGGGCTCCGCTTTGTCAGTGCAACCTGGATACTTGCTGGACCCCATGGGATGAACGTGGCCAGCCGTCGCTCACGGATGCGCAGTAGACTCTTGTGCACGTCCGTCGGGTCCACCTCACCCTGGATGACGTTGAGGATCGAGATGTAGCAGCTCTTCTTGCCAGGTATGGTGGAGACCATGCGGTTCTTGGGTTGCAAAAGACGACGCATAACATCCAGCACAGTCGTCTTGCGCACCGTCTTGGCCTGCTCAACCTGGTCTCCCGTGAAGGGGGTGTAGGCCGTCATGAGGAAGTGACATCTCGGGGTAGGGATCAAAGAAGCAAGAATGCTGACGAGATCATTGTGCATATATCCAGGATATCGCAGGGTTGTGGTGCTTGCAGACATTACAGTCGCAACCTAAGTCGATCAGCAATGCGCTACTTCCGCCATAATAAACCAAGAAAATGATCCAACTCACCAACTGGTTTGTCTGCTGCCAAGAAGGCTCCTGGACGTGGAGTCTGTCAGCTGCAATGTGGGACAGAGCTGCATTATCCAAAACTACAACAGAGTCGGCATTCTGTGTCAACCTCCTCATAGATAGGATGCTGTTGTAAGGGTGCACAACAACATCGCCGGCGTTGGTAGTGTCCGGAAAGACAGAGTAGGTTTGGATGATTTTCTTCGGGAACCTATCATTCAGTCTCTCGAGAAGAAAAGATCCGAGTCCAGAACCAGTACCTCCAGCAATGGAGTGTAGCATCATAAATCCCTGGAACGCCCGGCGTTAGGCGACAATCAAACATCAAGGGCGACGCAGGGCAAAGACCTACCTCGAGAGAGTCACTGCCGTCGGCCTCGCGATCAATCATCTCCATGATATCCTCACAGACCGACTCTCCGGTTTGGTAACCGTCTCCCCAGTTGTTGGCGGCCCCCATTCCATCCTTCCCGACGTAGAAGTTTTCTGGGTTGTAAATATTTTTGTAAGGGCCTGTTTGAATGCTGTTGAGGACCTATATGCCAATCATATGTTTAGGAGTCGCCTTCGACGAAAATATCTTCCACGGGCAGCTTACCCTTGGCTCCAGGTCTACCAGAATCGCTCGCGGAATGTATCTAGTATCGTCGCTCTGATAGTAGAACACATCTTTTCGGTCTCCGCCCTCGGTCGCGAAGTCCTCCAGATTTCCGTCTTGACTGATCCCGTGCTCTTGGCAAAGCTGTTGCCAGAACTGGCTACCAACTATTCGCCTGTCAGTGATTTGAATCGCTACCACAAATCTCTCGAAGTAGATTTGGGCGGCGACTGCGGGGCGTCGCTCGGGGGAGGGATAGTCGTCAATGCTGTTGGGAGAAGACGGAAGGGGGACTAACTGCTGTTGCCGCACTGCCCAGCCTGGATTGTGATTATCTCCCTGGACGAGATTGTTAGCAGGGCGCTTATTTAGGACTTCTAGATTTGTTTCAAAGCATACCGAGGCATTCTGATTGGGATAGTATCATTTCAAGTTGATATGAATTTGTGTTCAAGTTGTTCTCGGAGGTGGTCAAGGAAGGAGCTATGCGGCCGATAAGAGCAACGCGACGCGTGAGATAATGCTGTACCCCACTAATAAATCACCCCGCGTTAAGAGCCTCCACCACTCAGCGAAACATGCAATGTTCCTACACATAGCGGGCATTAAGAGAGGTTTGTGCATATACTATAAGCCGCGAGCTAAATTCTTGAAACAGACTCGCTTTTTCTAACATTAGGCCCTTTCCCGCGTGTTGCTACCAAGATTACGCCTGTGTAAGAGGAAGGGTCCTAGTTGTGTATGCCTACCTCTAGCACTCTCTTATGAAGGCGGTTTGGCATTGATAAAGAGCTGCCCTGCCCTTAGTAAAGAAATGTCCTTTTATACGCCTACAGTCTGTGATATAGTAATAAATCATCATCTTTATGTGCTAAAGCGGTAGTGCCAGAGCCTGGTTACCGCCTAGGTGTCCTAGCCAAAGTGGATGATGATGCCCAGCGTATTTGAAGGCAGAAGAAAATGATCTCCATAGCTGCATCTTCAATAACCGAGGGGTCACTTAGATATGTACCGGTCTGTGGACCAGTACGAGGGTGGATGATTACACTCTGTCCCCGTATAACATTGTTCAAACTGGTGTAACTTTTAACTGATACACTAAACACCATACACTAAGTGAATTCATAGACAAGCTGGCCATAGCCGTGACAGTACCATCCGAATAAAATCAAATTCTCACAATGAAATCCCCCAAGCGCCTGATATGCTAACCTTAAACTAAACATAACCTACCTGGCCTTACCCTTTGGTATGCGGAACGCTGGCTGAAAAGACTCTTTTTACATACACGATCCTCACCACGCACATTACTTGTTCCCCAGCCTCCTCGATTATTTCTTATTCTCCTTCTTATACTTCTCCAATGCCTCTGCCAACTCAATTGCCAGCTCCTTGGTTTTGGCCTGGATCATCCAAGTCTCCAACCCATCACCCTTCTCATTCGATGTCGTTATCTTAACATACTTGTTGTCGGCCTTGTAGCTCATTTCGGGCATGAGAGCTCGGTTCAAAGCGACATGCCCACGTGGCTCAGCACGCAAAAGAAGGCGAACAAGCTTCGTCTCCTTGTTCTGTAGGACACGAAGGGGTCCGATTCCTTGCGTAGACCAGGGACTCTTGCTCTTGGGTTTGTCGTCTGCTTCACTCCCAGCAGGGATGAACTTCAGGACCTTGGCACGAACATCATGCAGCGTGTCCTCGCCCTCTTCAGCACCATCCGTCAGGTTGATTTGCTCGTGCTTTTCACCTTCTTCGTCGTCGGCAGCCTTGGTTGGTTCCTTGGCCGGTTCCTTTGCGATTTCTGCCTTGCTTGTAGGTTCCGGGGTCCCGCGCGCGGGTGTGGTGGCTAGACTGGAACCATCTCCAAGACTGAAGGGAGTGTCTAACCCCGACGCTTTAGCGGGAGAATCTTCCGTCCAGGAAAAGGGGACTTACTTGTCCCAGTGGAGGGGCCTCCAGTGGGCGGTTGCAGGTTGAAGAGGTTCTGGTTGTTGCCAAATGGCGTGCCCACACCTTGCTGAGGCTGAGTATTGTTTCCCGAAAAGATGAAACCGCCAGGGGTACCTCCAGAGCTAGGTGCCGATCCATTAGTGTTGCCTTGGTTGACGCCGAAAATGGGCGCGGGTGATGCAGTATTAGCACCAAACTGGAAAGGACTAGAGCCCGCGGCAGGTTTTCCAAACTCGAAGCCTGAGGATGGTGTGGCCGAGGCTCCAGAACTGAAGGGGTTGTTGATGGTGCCTGACGATGCGGCGAAGCTGAAGTTCATGCCACCCGTGTTCCCACTGCCTGCTGGAGGATTGGACGCATTGCCAAAAATGTTACTTGAAGGAGCTGGAGTAGGAGCCGGGGCAGTTCCTGAGCTGGGGGCGCCAAAAGAGAAAATAGGGGCAGCAGCTGGGGTGGTTGTATTTCCTAGGCCTTGGAACATTGGCTTTGCTGGGGACTTGTCGTCCTGCTTCATAGGACTTCCCTCAACCATGGAATTGCCAAAGGATGTAGGGGGCGACTTGGGGGCGAACAGGGGCTTTGAGTTGGCTTGAGCGCCACCATTCTGAGAAGCCCCAAAGGAGAAGCCGGATGATGTAGCTGGTGCCGCAGAAGCATTGTTCCCGAACAAGCTCGAGCTAGTGGAAGATCCGACTCCGAATAGATTGGATGCAGGTTTATTGCCGACAGTGGAAGGAGTAGAGAACCCTGAGAAAGGGGTCGCGGCCTTGGGAGGTTCGCTGGCTGCAGGCTTTTCGGGTTCCTTGTTGGTTTCCGTGGGCTTTGTTCCAAAAAGAGTGGTGGAGCCCAGAACCGAGGGGGTGGAAGCTGCCTGAGCTTTGGGAGCACCAAAAAAGTTTGAGGTAGCA